TGAAGAATACACAGTTCCACGTGTGTAATACTGGTGTGAGGAATAAGTATTACTTATGTATCAGGTACCTTAAAAACCTGAAATGGCATGCTAAATATCAGTTATTTTTTTTTAGGGGAGGGAGAATGAATCACACATTATATGGGTATACTTCTAACACTAAAAACCACATTTTGACTGAGAAGGAAGTGAGAGACTAATTTAACATTTGGGGTCATGACGTTGCACAGTACCCCCCATTTTCAAAGGTCCAACTACTGTTAGCAAATGCCAATTTCTCAGTGGCTTCAAATATATTTCAACTGGACCTGTATTGGCAATGATGGTGGTGAATTTGGCTTAGTTTTATATACCATCATCACTCATTAATTTAATGAGGTAATATATGGGGAAACAAATATAGCTGTTTTTATAGGTTTCTGCAAAGGCTGTTGCCTAGCTCTTTGACCTCCTATATTCAATGCTGTCTACTACTCTGAACAGCAAACTGGGAGACATTTCAGAGCCAGAGCCACACAGATTCTCACACAGCTTACATCCAGTGGCAGATAGAAAGTACCTAAAACAGGAAAACTGGAAGTACATGTAAGGGACCCCTGACCCAGATTTCAGGGATGAGGAAGCCCTAGGGGAACTGACATTTAGAGAGTATAGTGAGGGTGACAACACACCGCACGTCCTGCAATCTGTTGATCCAGGGCATCGCCTCTGGTCAGGGCACTATCCTCCGTACTCCCCTCACACTGAGTTCACCTCTAGCTATGGTGAACAAAAGTCCTGGTGCGCTCTAGACAGTCTATTTTATTTGTTGTCTGGAATAACTATTAATAGTGGCCCCTTACATGCTCGAAAGTGCTTTCTTTGGTTAGGACTATCAATTACAGGGTTATCCCACCTTTAGCCCTGATCCTGGCAGACTCCAGCTTGCATGTTTGGCTCTCCCATGTGACTCAGCTCACTGGGGGCTTGGGCTCAATCTTATTCTCCTATGTACCCATGTGCCTTCTTTGGTTAGGACTATCAATTACAGGGTTATCCCACCTTTAGCCCTGATCCTGGCAGACTCCAGCTTGCATGTTTGGCTCTCCCATGTGACTCAGCTCACTGGGGGCCTGGGCTCAATCTTATTCTCCTATGTATCCATGGCATGGGCTCTATGTCAATTACATTTGCATCCATGATAGCTTTGTGCCTGATGCCAAACAGACTGAACATGTATTCAATATGATATTCAAAATTAGAATGAGAAGTAAATACAATTGACAACAAACTAGATTTGCAAATCTTTGTATCATGTTGGGATTCTGGATTTACCTCTCACTAGCTGTGTGACCTTCTGATTCTTAGGTTTTCACCTGAAAAAATGGGGGTAATAGTACCTTCTTTGTAAAGTAGAAAAGTTTAAATGAGACAGTATAGGTAAAGTGCTTTTGCACATAGCTGGCATATACTGCATACCGTTAGCAGCAGCTGCTGCTGTAGACCATGATGACTACTGCTGCCACAACCCTGTTTTAGGCATGAGAAAACTGACACCTAACAAGCATCCAGTAGAAACTCAGTAAGTGTGCACTAAAGGAATTCTTGGTCTCATGCTAGGTGCTGGCTTCACACCAGAATCTTGTATTACAAGATGCATTAATCAAAATTACAATTTAGAAGTCAAAAGTTTTGACTACTCTAAGCAGTTTTGTAATTCAGAAAAAACCTCCTCATATCCCTAAAGTAGCATAGAACACATCTGGCTGCATCTTTAGATGTGCTAATTACCAACATTTAAACCTCACCCTTGCTATAACTCTTTTAAAATTTATTCATATAAGCATGCCAAGCTGGATATTTGGGTCCATCTCTTCTCTTTTTGAACTGTCAGCCTCTCGAGCTGTGACTAATGTATATAGAGAAAAGTAGAAAGGCCTCAGATTGAGTCAACAGTAGTTTTCTTGATCCCTCAATTACAATATCCTCTTTACAGTATATCCTCCTTGGAACATTTGGAATGAATTAAGACTTTAAACTTCCAGATGTTGAAACTACTACTGTAAATTCAAACTCATTAAAAAGGGGCAGATTTACTACCTCTACATGGTTTTGAAGTCTGTTGTTCACCCTGTCCAAATAATTTATGAAACTAGATACAGTGGCAGATAGTGTATTCTATTTATATAGCATTCATGGTGAGAAATAAGGGCATTTTAAAAAGGTCAGGAAATTAGCTGCCACTTAGTCAACCTATAGATCACACTTACTGTTGTTTCTAAGCTAGTAATTGTTTCCTGAAACTGATCATAGGTATTTTTATGCTAATCTGTACTAAAAATTACTTTTTCTGGCCACAAAAAGCTGGCTACAGAAAGCATTTGATTATGGCAAGACAGCTGCATCTACTCTCATTAAATAAATGGACCTGGATCTAGTCCTTTGTGGTAGTGTCTTGGCAGCCAAACAAAGGTGGCAACATTTCTACAGAGTTTGTAAAGTCTCAGAAGTTTCAGTCTCCGTTTTCTTTTTTCTTTGCAAGAAACCCATGTCGACTATAATGAGTGCATTTTAGAGATGCTGTGCTGAAAGCTGGCAATGGATAAAGCAGGAACATAAAAGGAACCTATTCCTAAAGCAAATATTTCTTTTACAAACCTTAAGAATGAAGTGGCTTTCAGAATCAATTTCAATATCGAAATACTGGACTGAAGTACCTGCCTCTGGCACTTACTTGCCATGTAATCTGAGGCAATTAATTTATCTCTGTGAGCATGCTTTCTCAACTGAAAAATGGGGGCTAATACCTGCCTGGGTTTTTCTGAGAACTTGAATGAGATCATTCAAAGCGCTTTGTAGGTTCTAAAGTAATATATAATAAGTATTAATGAACACTGCAAGTACAATTTTCCTGTTTTATGATTTACTTGCTTAAAATAGCACTTAAAAGTGGCTGCTTCTAATATCAAACAGAAATAAACCTGATCCAACTAAGTTATTGCAGAGGAACTGGTCTCAAGAGGAAGGCTCTTTCAACTCAACCAACTACTACTTACCCCGAAGGAATATTCTGAGAATTAACTGAAAACTACATAGAATAATTAATAAAGCCTTTGGTCCTGCTTATTTCACGGGTCACACATCCTACATCAGGCTTCAACTGTGTAACCTTTTTTTTCCAAAAATGAGAGTAGACATGTCAAAAGCAAATGCTGCTCTAATTAGATATGATACAGACCTTATTTTTAAAAAACTGTACAAGGCTTTTGTGGATACTCTATTTTTCTTTCCTTTAATTTCAATAAATCTATGACGTTTGTGTATGTGCAGTTATAAGTACTTACAATTGTAGTCCTATAATTGGCCCTGTGGGCCAACTCTAGGATGTAAGCTTGGTGAGTCAGAAAGTACACTGGGTATTGTCAGCACTTAGCTAAGAAGCCTGGCACACAGAAAGCATTCTTCTTATATTTGTGGATTAAATGGTCATGACACCTACCACTTTCTAATTATCTAATCCTGCAAAAGACAACCTGTTTCATCAATGAGATTACTACCGATACAACCTACCATCAAAGATCAGTTTGTTGAAAATACCCTTTAATAAATTAGGGTTTTTAAGCTTTCAATAGACTCCCAAATTAGAGAATATACATACATTATAAAAACAAATGACGAGCTTCTCAAAAGCTTAACTAATGCTTGTTGCATTAATGTTTTTGGATACATTATTGTGGCAGCCTGAAAAGGGGGCCATTATTTTACAACTCCTCCCAATAAAAGGAGTCTATTTCCTCATTCTTTGAATCTAGACTGGCCAAATGACTTCTTTGACCAAAAGAATGTGGTTGAAAGTGATGCTCTGAATTACTGAGTCCAAGTTTTGAAGCCACTGCCTTAGCTTTCCTGATACTCTGAGACCATCAGTACTTAGCCCAAGATAAAAGACCACATGAAGAGGCCCAGTCACCATATCCCCAGCCACCCTGTCAGCTGAATGCAGAGTCCAGATGAGACTAGCAGAAGAACCACTCAACAAACCCACAGAACTGTGAGAAATGGTAAATTGTTTCTTTAAGCCATTAAATTTGGGGGTAATGTTAAGCAGCAATAGGTTGCTGATGATAAATTACCTAATCCTTATAGCACAACTCGAAGGTAGATTTTATGGTTGAGGAAACAGACCCAGGTTAAGTGATCTGCCAAGGTCACACCACTCTTCCTCTCCAACCCCACCACTGCTCTAAGAACAGGATAAAGGTATTCAAACACCAGCTTTGTGTCCCCTTCATTGCCATCCTGCCATCATGAATTTGATTAGTTCTAACAAGGACAGAGGCATCTCTTAGAGCCCTGGCTACAAGATAAACTCTTGTTATCTTCCTGATAAGCTGCATGCATAATGTGTCCTGATTTAACACATATGCTGGGCTTTCCTAGGACAGAGAAATGGACTGTGGGCTATCATTAAGACTCAGCAGTCCAGCAAATACATACCACTCTGGTTTCTGAAGCTCAAGGGACACTTAATCCCAACATAAAACAATTCATTAACACCTCTGCATTCATTTACACTTTAGCCAGCAACAATAACACAAACTGACAATTTATATCAGGACCCATACAGTACATAATTAAAAAAAAAAAAAAAAAACTAGTTGGGTGAACCTAACATTTAGTACTTTGTTTTTTTTCTATAACCCAAGTAGTAAACCACATGCAAAGGACTCACCTTGAATTATGAAGCTGTTTATACAATGTTTTTTAAGAGATCTTACACAAGAATGTTTTGACCCCACCAAAAACAATGTGCCTAAACTTTACAAAATTCACATTTTATTTAGATTGAAATAAACTATACAAAATTGATTTTCTTCACCAAAAATAACAGCAATATTTTCCATATTTTTCTAGATAAACCACAACACTCATTTTTGTAGGTTTCCAGGTTTTGCTTATAAATCAAGATGAGGCAGTAGATAAGTCATGGAAAAAGACAGAAAAGGAAAAAAAAAAAAAAAAAAAAAAAAAAAACCAACCAGACAAATCATGGCCTTTGATTCTGTCTTAACCATGAAACAGAAGTGTTCAACATATACCTGCTAAAAAGCGTAGGAAGATGTAGGCTCCACAAAGGAATGTAAACAGCCAACAATGAGATGTGGAACAATGGCAGCCTCCTCCATTCAAACTTTTACTGTCATTTGTTCCTTAAGTTCATTTCAGAAAGACAGAATCTACACTGAAATCCTTTTTTGGCAAGCTCACAAGCTTTTCTCCGGTAATTTCTTATAACTGTCCAGTACAGATTTTTAACATACTTAAAACTCCTATTAGTCAAAGGTCAACTGTGGGCTTCACTATAACATTTTATAAAATGTATTTCTTCCTCCCACACCTCTTCAAAATATATTTCTTCAAAGAATTCATAACACCCAACAAGTAGAGATCCACAGTGATAATAAATGCTATGTCTAAAATGACTTAACTAAAAGAATTCCAGAGTGCCACCAGCAGAGATCACACAGAAGGAAACATAGCACTTTCAGTGTTCTCTTCTGGAAGAACAGATAGGCCTTCAAAGCAGGAGAGTTCAAATAGGGGCCATTTAAACAGGTAGATTATCAATGGCTAATGTATTCAATGAAGTCCTATAGGCAAAGATATTTAGTGATTAAGTGGCCTACATACACCTTACAGCTTTTCTTCCAAATATAAAATATAAGAAAATCTATTTTTAAAAGTCTCTTAGGTATTTTCCATGGTTTCTGAATTCTCTGTGGGAAGCTCTGACTTATTTGTATAAAGTTTAATATATGTGTCCACCATTAAATCCAGGTCGTGTTTTATATCAAAATTTATGTTAAGCAAAGCCAAGTTACTCGACCTTTGGTCTGTCAAAGTGTTCCTCAAATATGCTTTAAGACGTTTTCGTCCATTTTCATACCGCTCATTTTCAACCTTCATCACAGGAAGAATACACAGGACCTTTAGCAATGCATACACATTAGGAAAAAACTTGATGTCAGGCAGGTGGAGGGCTTCATAGATAGTGGATGGAAGCTCTATATCTTTCCCCCTGTGTTTCCATTTGATTCTCCAACAGTGAAGCTCGGCTGAGAGCGTGTCAGGATTGGGTAAGTCACTTCTATACATATCAGCATGGTGTTCCTCTGATGTATTGAATTTGAGTTGTCCCATGACTGAGGGTACCAGAGATAAGCATTTAAGAGCTTTCAGGTGCTGTTCTGAGAATATATCTTTAAGTTCCTGAATAATGTGCTCCACTGTTGGGACACTTAGGGTTTCCTTATAGTAACTCTCAGAAGTTAGCTGAGATTCCAAGTTACCCTGGTGAGCTCTGCGGAATTTCCCAGGGAGTTTCATTTGAATATCAAGCTTGGTTGCCAAATTTGTGGCTTCCTCAAACCAAAATTCATGATAAACTTCAATATTTTCCATCACTTCATTAAGTGAATGCAATACTGCAGTCAAGCTACCGGCTGCAAAGAAGACATCTGAGGTTTGCCCCTGGAGATTTTTCCCAAAGGCTCTTGTAAAAGATAGCACGTTTTTAAGAACAACAATAGTAACAATGAAATCAAAATCTGTTACTGCACTGCAGAGTACAAATGCTCGGCCAGCTATACAGTTATTCCATCTAATATTTGTGTCACTATTTATACCATCTAAACATAAAACAAGTGCTTGCAGGAGTTCTACTAAAATTTCAAAAGCATCATGCCTGCCTGTCCACTGAGAATGGCAGATTTCCTTCAGTTCTTTACCCCTTTCTTTACTGTTCTGAAAAAGAACAGAAATTACATTGTCAAGTTCTAAAAGCAGTTGTGGTGATCGATGGAAAAAAGAACAAACTTCCTCAATTGTTCCTAATGCAACAGATACTCCCATAACAGGTACTGATTTTGCCAACCACATATTTAAGGCACAGGAAGAGCAAAGTGTGTAGATAGCCTGGGGATATTTCTCTAAAAGTCTAGAAGCAACAACTTTCATTTTGGAAGAAAATCCACTAGACACAATGTAAGCCTGGCCACGACAATACTCCATATTTAATCCCCATTTCTCAGTTATCATAGTGTGAAATTTCACAGCCAAAATTTCTGCATCAGCTTCGTAAGGCAGGAAGCCTACAAATTCCTCTCTTAGGTTATGAGATTCATCAACAAACCTCACCAACACAGGTAGGTGCTCTTCCCCTGCTATGTCCACTACATCATCAGTGATAATGGAAAAGAAGTGTGAGTCTCTCACTTCCCTGAGAGTTTCTTCTCGAATACAGCTCTCACAGATCTCTAGCATCTGCCTCTGCTGTGTTTTTGAACAAAACAATGTGTTAACTGCTGTTGTTTCAAAGCGTTTTCTCAGGACCTCTTCACCAGAATTTATCCGGCACTCCAGCAGTGCTTGAAAGTTATCTGGAGTAAAGAGACCTTCTGGGATTTCATCAGCTTCATGTCCATCCAGAGGTATATTTTGCTTTCCCATAAGAATCAAGATTTCAAATAGAGATTTTAGGTATTCTTTGTTTTCCTTCTCTTCAAGGGTTAGAGGTAAAATGTCCTCATCTTGCCCTTCACCCCCTTCTTCACTGGGATTCTGAGCACTGCTATTGTTGGTTTCTTTATGTTTTTGTTCCTGTTCAGAAATTTCATCAACTGGAAAACAAAGAATTAATGTGACAAACAGGCTCATAAAAAACCAAACCAAACAAAAAACATTACATCTTCGGTTAAATATTTAAAATATATAGAAAAACTCATTCATTCAATATTCATAGGGCATTTATTAGACCACAAACAAGGATAGGGATTAAAATAAGAGATATTCTAGTGGGAGAGACAAACACTGTAAAGATATATTTTAATCCTAGATGTAAATGCTGTTATAAGATAGGAATGATTTTTCTTTTCTTTTCTTTTTTTAAGAAATAGGGAGTCTCACTATGCTGCCCAGGCTAGTCTTGAACTCCTGGCCTCAAGTGATCTTCCCACCTCAGCTCCAAAGTACTAGGATTAAAGGTGTGAGATACCACATCCAGCCTAATTTTAAAAATAAACTTAAAACATTCCACATATGTAATGAATGACAGTCCATGCCCTCAGAAAAACAAAGTGGGACAGAACTAATTACTAAGGTACTGTGCTTAGCATTTTATATGCATCACATTACTCTCTCTTCAGGCAGGTGGTATCAGCTCCACTTGACAAATGAGGACACTAAGAAACTTGCCCAGATCACAGACAGTTAGAAGAATGGAAGTAAAGTTGAAATCAAAGTGTCTGGCCCCAAGGTCCATGCTGATGCTGTTTTTATCAAACCATTATGCCACACATTTATGTGGGAGATGGGACAACTGTACAAACCATTGTAACATAAAGGAGATTAATGTAATTCTTAGGGCTAGTATTAGATTATCACAAATTTTAGCCTAATCGCTTCATAAGGGATAGGAAAACTGAGGCCCTATAAGGTAAATGTCCTGCCCATAGTCATATAGGTCAGTGGTGTCTACAGGAAAAGAATCCAAATCTAAAGAGTCACAGTTAAAACCTAGTTCTTAGAACATAAGACTATGGAGGGCAGCAGGGAGAAACAAAAACTCAGAAGTTGCATTTGATGACAAGGATAAATAAAGGGGGACATGAACAAGGAGGGCATTTCAGTTGGTGAGAATTATTCCAGGAAAAGCACTAAGGTAGAAGAGGGAAGCAGGCTGTCCAAGAACTAAGGGAAATCTCGTCATCAGGGTTTCGCAAAATGCAGGAAGCATCCTTCCCTAACCCCTCCTCTCATCAGATGGCACTGCTAATGATCATATGTGACACGCAGTGGTTCCATACCAGGTAGGTTTCCCAAGCCAGAAAGAGGTTATCCTGGACTCCTTCCTGCCTGCCTGGCTCCTGCCCCACCCTCCTCCATTACTTTTCCACTTCCAATTACAAGTACTAATTCTCTTGCTTTTATTTTTTTCAAAAAGCAGTTCATTAAAGAGCAAAGAGTACAAAGTAAAAAGTCAAGTATCTCTTCTTTTAGGTATCTTTTCATATGCAAGTCATAGGTATACAAATTTCTTAAGTTCCTTGAACCTATTCCCTTTACTTTCTCTACCACTACCTAATTCAAGGCCTTTCAACTTCTATTTGGTCAGCTGACAGCCCAACTGGCCTCCCTGCCTCCAGTGTTACCTTTTCTAATCCAACAGAGTGCTGTATGTAACATGAAAATCAGGTCCCTGTTATCACCTACTTACAAACCCCTCAATGGTTCCCTATTGCTAACAGCCCACAAGTCTGCAAGCTCTGGCCTCTGGGGTCCTTTCTAGTTTCATTTTCTAACCATAATGGGTAACCACAAACTTTAACAACACTAAAATGAGTGTAGTTCCCCAAATCTAGCACCCTGTACCTTTCCCTCTCTTTGCCCAAGTCCATATCTCCTCATCTATAAAGAGGGAAAGAACAGTACTTATCTCAGGGCTATTGTGAGAATTAAATGAATTAATACAAGTAAAGCACTTAGAACAAAGATTTGGCATTAGTGAGCACTCAATAAAATGCTATATTAATAATAACGGCAATAGGAGGAAGAAAGAGAGGAGGAGTGACTAATAACTGACAAGAAGAAAAACAGCTTCTAGCGCTCACTTTGGTGAAACAATTGGGGCATCAGCACCTACAGAAAGGCTGTTGTGACCACACTACCCCCAATGGCACTATGTACCCCCCAGCGTTTATTCCTTAAACATTTAGCAAGAACTTATTACCCACCACAACTGGGTGGACAGAAAAGAAATTCAGTGCATGTCTCTACCATTGCCCTTCCATCCATACAATGGAGCACTGTGTGCCTGCCACAGTAAGAAGTGGCATCAGGCCGGGCACGGTGGCTCAAGCCTGTAATCCCAGCACTTTGGGAGGCCGAGGAGGGTGGATCACGAGGTCAAGAGATCGAGACCATCCTGGTCAACATGGTGAAACCCCGTCTCTACTAAAAAAAAATACAAAAAATTAGCTGGGCATGGTGGCACGTGCCTGTAATCCCAGCTACTCAGGAGGCTGAGGAAGGAGAATTGCCTGAACCCAGGAGGCGGAGGTTGCGGTGAGCCGAGATTGCGCCATTGCACTCCAGCCTGGGTAACAAGAGCGAAACTCTGTCTCAAAAAAAAAAAAAAAAAAAGAAGTGGCATCACCTCTGCGAGGCCTGTGTGTGGCATAGCAGCAACAATAAAGACAAGCCAAACCAAGACTTTAGTCTCGTAAATAATTCCAGAACACAGGACAAAGCTGAGCACACTCTTACATCCATTCTCAAGGTAGGTTTTCAACACAAAACATATTTATTTGTCCTTACCAGGTCAAGGCCTTTTTAAAAGGCATTCAGAAGCTGAGTCATTAACACTATCACTTACTTTTTTTCTGTTTCAGTGTCCTGATTTCGTCTTCACTCTAAATGGCAAGAAAAAAAGAATCATCTTTTAAAAACTGACCTCTAGTGTATCATCTTAGACTCACAAATAGAAATGCCTATTCTGAGTCAAATTTAATTCTTCAAGAGCATAAATTCTTTTTTTAACATACATTCTTCAAACAGACAGACAATGAGAAAACCAGAATAAGCTGTTAATAACTCCAAGGTTAAACTGATCAGTCTACTTAGAAAAAGAAAGAAAAAATAATAATATAAATAACTCCAAGGTTATAACAAAGTCCTAGAGGGGAAAAAATAAATCATTTTACTTATTTTCTACCTAAATTATCCTAACTTTGGGTTACATGTATTTACCGGCTAACGAAAGGCATGAAAGTACACCATGGCACTTGGGGTCAAATTCAAGAGGACACATCATCTTATTTCCCAATTTAACCCTGGATATGCCCCATAAGGAGGTTGCTGAATCTCAGAACCCAACGCAAAAGTGATGAGAAATCCCTGAGAAGCAGAAGATGAAAGAGTACTAGCATGGAAGAGATACACAGAGCATAGTAGGCCAAGTGGCACCAATAGGGTTAGACAAAGGAAGAACTTGCCAGCTGCATCCTTTACTCTCCTTCCAACCCTCTACAATGCTAAAATCATGAGCCACTCTGTTACTTTCTGTGGCAGAAAAGCAGCTATGCCAGTGACAGCTGAAGACAGCAAGATGCCTGTTGGGCACCACTGGACATGGCGCTCATAGCAAGAAACATCAGCAGGCTGGTCAACCTGGGACATCCCCTTCTTATCCTATGGACTGCATGTTTATAAGGATGGTGGTTCAGGAAGAGTATGGCGGCTGTGAAGTATGTGAGGCTCTCTGAGGGACAGACAGACTACAGGGAAATGATAGCAACAGGACAGCAAGTGGTTGAGCTCCTCATCCTGATACATATTACACTTCGTATCTATGGATTCAACCAACCATGTATTGAAAATACTGGGAAAAAAATGAAGAGTTGTACCTATCTTGAATATATATAGACTTTTTTCTCATTATCCCCCTAAATAACGTAGCGTAACTATTTACACAGCATTTACATTGTATTCAGTTTTACAAACACATAAATGTATTAAGTATCATAAATAATCTTGGTATTGTTTAGAAATGGATGGTTGTGTCTATACTGAATACAGACTTTTGTTCTTGTCATTATTCCCTAAACAATGTAATATAACAACTATTTACAGAGCACTATATTGTATTAGGTATTACACATGATTTAAAGAACACAGGAAGATGTAAGTTATATGCAAATACTACACCACTTTATATAAGGGAATTGAGCATCTATGAATTTTGCTATCCAAGGGAGGGTCCTGGAACCAGTTCTCCATGGACACCAAGAAAAAAGGCAACATGGAGGACTGTCATGTAAGTGTCAGTAGTCATCTAAGAGAAATCCCAGGAAAATAGAAATAAACAAATAGAGGGGAAAATGCATACAGAAAAATAAAAACTAAGGATTTAATTTAAGATGTAAGTCCTCAGTTGTAAGATGACAAATTAAGGTACATAAGAAAAAACCTCACATCTAGATATAGTTTAGCAAAATTTAAAATGTCAAATATGAGGAAAACTAAAAAGCTTTGAGGGAGAAAAAGATTACCTAAAAAGGAACCAGGCTGGCATAGACTTTCATAGCAATAATGGATGCAAAAAAATCAAAAAGAATCAACATCACATAGACTATGTGTATCCTCTATGTATCTCTTAACATTTAAAATAAAAGAATCAAATCATTTAAAAAAAAATTCCGCATCTGAAAACTAAGAAAAACAATCCTATGTTAACAAAAGAGAAATCACAAAATACCTACAACCAGACATGACAGCACTATATGTCTAAAATTGTTAAGGTATAGCTAAAAAGGACTTAAGGAGACATTTTTAGCTTTGAATAAACATATATGAGCTAAACATTAAGAATCTAGAAAAAGAGTCAAAAAGTAAATCACCCCAATCAAGGAAAAACCAATCAAATAGTTCACAAGTACAGCAATCACTGACAAAACTATTGGCTCTTTGAAAAGATTATTAAAGTTTCATAAACTTTTAGAAACATAACAAAACACAAGAAGAAAGAGAAATCAATAAAGATATTAGAATGGCAATCAAAACTTTCCCTCACCCACCTCTAGTCCTCTAATGGTTTTACCAAGTTCTACCTTACTTTCAAGAGCAGATAACATCTACCTATACAAGTTTTTCTAGGAAAAAAAAAAAAGATACCCAACTTATTTTATGAGGCTAATAGAAACTTGATATTGTAACTGGATAATGCGAGTACATGAAAAGAAAATTACAAGCCAAGATTCACAAATGCAATATCCTAAATAAAATATTGACCAACTGAATCCAACGGTATATAAAAGCAAACAGACATATCGCAATCAACTAGGGCTCATTACAGAAATGCAGATGGTTCAAAGAAAATCCATTAGTATTACTCATTGCATTAAAGAATGAAAAAAAAAATAAACTTTTCTATTAAATAGATTCAATGAAAGCATGTGATAAGTTAAATATAAAAACTGAATATCAGGTGTAGTGGCTCACTACTATAATCCCAGCATTTTAGGAGGCTGAGGTGGAAGGACTGCTTGAGCCCAGGAGTTTGAGACCAAACTGGGCAACATGGCATGACCCCATCTATACAAAAAATACAAACAAATAAGCCAGGTGTGGTGGCGAACACCTGTGGTCCCAGCTACTTGGGAAACTGAGGTAAGAGGACTGCTTCAATCCAGGAGGTGGAGGCTGCAGTGAGCCGTGTCTGCACTGTACTCTGGTCTGGGTGACAGAGTGAGACCGTTTCAAAAAAAAAAAAACAAAACCGAACAAAAAACTCTGAATATAAGACTAGAAGGGAATTTCCTTAACTTGACATAAACTATTTAACAATACCAACAGCAAACATTATACTTAATGGGGCAAGGCAAGTATGTCAGCTATGACATTATCACAATTACTTAACATAGTGCTAGGGATTTTGACTAAACAAGAAAGACAACAGAAAAAATTAAAATCATACAAACTGAAAGAGACAAATTTCTCCTTATTTATAGGTGATACAAAGGAAAAACTCAGAAGACTTACTAGGATTAACTTAAAAAGTAGTTCTTTAAAAGTGCTGGAAACAATTCCAACCAGAATACATAATCTATACCAGTAAGAACCATAATGTCAAGATAAGAAGTGATTTAAGGAAGAATGTATACACTCTCTTTTAAAAAACTGCAACAAAAGCCCTCAACATTTTTCATTTTCTGTACTCCCAAAAGTGTTCTAATATTCTTTTCAAAAAACTAGTATTTAGTTTTGTCAGTGATGGCTGTTACCTGATAGGTATTTTATGGAAGTTTTTTTCCTATTCATGGATGGGTCTAGTTAATATTTTACAATAGTTTATATTGTAATAGTAAACTAGTAATATTCATTTACTAACATCAATAATACTAAACTAGTAATAAACTAGTAACACATTTACAATAGCTAATATTGTAAAGATGTCAATTCAAAACAATTATAATGAAAATCCCAAAAGAATTTCTAGATCTTGACAAAAGGACTTTCAAATTCATATGGAGGAGGCTGGGCATGGTGGCTCACATTTATAATCCCAGCACTTTGGGAGGCCGAGGTGGGCAGACCACTTTAGGTCGGGAGTTCAGACCAGCCTGGCCAACATAATCAAACCCATCTCTACTAAAATTACCATGTTAGTCAGGCATGGTGGCAAGTGCCTATAGTCTCAGCTGCTCGGGAGGCTAAGGCAAGAGAAACTGCTGCAAACTGGGAGGCAGAGGTTGAAGTAAGCTAAGACTGTGCCACTGCACTCCAGACTGGGCAACACAGTGAGACTCTCTCCCTCAAAAAAAAAAAAAAAAAAAAAAAAAAATCATATGGAAGAATAAAGGTCCACAAATAGCTAAGAAAAAGAAGAGTTAAACAAATCACCCTATTTGAAAGTAAGATATATTACAAAGCCATGGTAATAAAACAATGTGGTATAGTTGCAGACAAATAATACAGTGAAATAAAATAGAACTCCCCAAAACAGCCTTATGTGAATTTGTTCTATGACAGAAGTGGCATTTTATACCAGTGGAGGAAAGGAAGAGTTAACAGACCATGTTGGGAAAACAGGTTCTCTATAAGGAGTAAAAGTTATTATAGATCCCTACTGTACATCATTTATATTAACTCCAAATGGATAAAATATCTAAATATGGAAGGTAAGCACAGAATAGGGAAAATTAGATAAAACATTAGTATGGATAACAACTGGTAGGGGAAGAAATGGTTATGGTAATAGTGGATGAAGAAGGAAAAATAATAAAGCAAAATAAGGGCCTTCCTAGTGGTAATGATGACAGAAAGCCATGGACTGAGGAGTTACTGTAATTCTGTTCACCTAAAGTCAACAAAATACAGATAGGTGTCAATCCTCAGAACTGAAGGATATTCAAGGAATATAAGAATACGTGTAAATTACGCCATATACAGAGATTTCAACTTTTTTTTCTAAACCCTGCTCATATTTAGTAGTGACAGAAGCCTTATCTTTAAAACATTCCATGTCTCCACTTTCAGACTTTCCTTTTCTTTATCCCTTTGTGCTGACTTCTGGAAACACCTCAACTCTATTTTCCTTCCTACAAAAGAAAAGGTAGTTTTTTCCTTCTCCCGAAGGGTATGAGCTAGTGGCCTATAATTAACAGCACACTCTGGACCAAGTCAATGAGTATCAACTGGCTAAATTTGAGGGAGAATTTCCAAATTAAATACTAAAACTCACCATCTCACATCTAGGCTATTTCCTGTTATATTACATCTGAAATAGAGAGTAACTTGGATTGATTTTAACATAAATGCATCTGTATTTGATTTCATAGTACTATGAGGGAAGGTGGAAAAGCTAAAAGTACATAGTCTTACCAGTTCTTTTATTCGTTTTCTGTGTCTACTATGTGGGTTGTTCAAATGACTGGTAAGATCAAATATTGTTGGTATTGCATTATCTCGAAGAACTGTCCTATAAGGACTCTGAAAAAGAAAAATATATTAATTCAGAGATGGTCCTTATAAATATATTAGACATAAATAAAATTATATGTTAATGACCTCCACAATATTCCTTCAATTCCAGCTCTAAATTACAGAGACTTACAGAATTTGATGTCAGTTCAAGTCAGTCTACTATTTCCAATTGTACCTGCATTTGCCCTTCTGGCAATCTATTATAAATTAAGAAACTGAATTAAAGGTAGGCATAAAACATAATATTAACTTGCATTTTGCCTATCTGTTTCTAATTCAGCATTCCAGCCACTTTATCTGTTCTGTCTTTCTGAGTCCACCAAATCTACAGGAGGTACAAGTCTTTCAAAATAATTTGCACTCTTGTATGTTCTATAATAACGCATCCCTCTTTTATCTGCTGTTTACTCCTTTTGCTAATACGGAGAAGCATCAAGGCACAGTGAAAATACTGGACTGACACCCAAGAGACCTAGGAACTAGTCCAAACCTCTACCAGTGACACGGGACTCGCTAAGACACCCTGGCTAAATTACTTTCCCTTTTTGGGCCCCAGTTTCTTCTTCTGAATAAATTATGGTATTGAACTAGATCAACATTTCCCAAAATGAAAGTATTCACATACTAATGATTAAAATGCTTGCCATTTCAGTTATTTATATTACTATCTGTATTTTTACACAATCGACTCAATTTTTTAATTAACACTATCTTAAGTAATAAAAACCATAGGAAGAATGATCTGATGTTTTATCTTATGTTTTAAAAAAATTTTGTTTTTAACACATACTACAAAACTTCTAAAATAAAAACTGATTCATGCGGCACATGAAACCATCTCTCACACCACAAGTGATATTGACATACATAATCACATTTTTGCAAATGCTAAACTAGGTATTTCTATATTTCTTTCAAGTTCTAATCATCCTCTATCCTACTTCCTGCTAATTTCATCTAACCTGGCTAGAAGCCGGATGCATACTTAAATAGTAACAGTCCTCCTGCCAGCCCTGAGGAGTCTGGGTAAGAGACAAGAAGTTTATTAAGAGGGAGAGTAATAAATAACTGTTATTACATTCCCCTCAGACAGTCCAAAGAAACAGTGCCTTTAATTTCTTCCTGAATTTGCAATGATAAAGATAAAACATACTTCATTTAAACAAGCTTTTTTGGAAGCAGTGATTTCTTCAAAATATCAAAGCTTGTTCGAAGAATATGCCAAACAAAAAGAACAACTTTTAAATTTGTTCACCCAAGGAGGGGAGGTTGGGAAGATATGAAGGGAAACCATATATCTAAATGAAACACACTATCTTGGGTTGTACCCGAAGAGTTACTAAACACATTTGGGATGAATTTCTATTCAGAGTCACTATTTTCTAGTTCAATTTCATGTTGTAATAGAAAACACAAAGATGATTCTCTCACTTCCTAGTAACATTCAACTTTCTAGTGCTGGGCCCATGATCTTGAGTCTACTAGGAAGGCTAAATGAGGAACTGGTTAGGGACACAATCACTGAAGGGAGTACAAGTTATTATACTCAAGGCTCCCCCATCTGTCACACTGAGCAAATGTCCCTAAAATAAGCAAATATACAGTCAACTCTCGATATCTTACCAATTATTGAATAAAACATTTTAATAATTTTTTAAAAGTCAAATCCAACTGATTTTCTATTTGCAAATAAAGCAAAGATATTATAAATCAGAAAGCAGGATATATGAATGAAAAAATGACATTTTATAAATATTTATTTTGGCCAGGCATGTTGGCTCACACCTATAATTCCAACACTTTGGGAGGCCATGGCTGGGTAGACGGCTTGACCCCAGGAGTTTAAGAACAACTTAGGAAACATGGCAAAACTCCATCTCTACAACAAACACAAAAATTAGCCAGGTATGGTGGCACGTGCCTGTAGTCCCAGCTGTGTGGGAGGCTGAGCCAGGAGGACTGCTTGAGCCTGGGAGGTCGGGGCTGCAGTGAGCCATGATCACGCCACTGCACTCCAGCTTAGGCAACAGAGTGAGACCCTGTCTCAAAAAATAGTAATAAAAATAAGAAAAATATAAACATTTATAAGGACACATGCCAAAAAGACAATAATCAATTCCTACGCATAACATCGAGTATCTCAGTATCAGGATTTATTCTTTAACTGTTTGAGCATGAAAAAATAATCTTACTCTAGCATCAAAATAATAAAAATATTTGCCTCTGGCCAAATTCAGTAGTCATGAATGTTTACTGATGACATCTGTTTTTTGTTTGTTTGCTTTTTTTAAAGACAGAGTCTTGCCGGGCGCGGTGGCTCAAGCCTGTAATCCCAGCACTTTGGGAGGCCGAGGCGGGTGGATCACGAGGTCAAGAGATCGAGACCATCCTGGTCAACATGGTGAAACCCCGTCTCTACTAAAAATACAAAAAATTAGCTGGGCATGGTGGCACGTGCCTGTAATCCCAGCTACTCAGGAGGCTGAGGAAGGAGAATTGCCTGAACCCAGGAGGCGGAGGTTGCGGTGAGCCGAGATCGCGCCATTGCACTCCAGCCTGGTTAACAAGAGTGAAACTCCGTCTCAAAAAAAAAAAAGACAAGAGTCTCACTACCATGCTGGCTTTGAACTGCTGGGCTCAAGCAATCCTTCAACCTCAGACTCCTGAGTAGCTTGGGACTATAGATACATGCCACTGTGCCCGGCTACTGATGAGATCTTCAATGCTAAACTAATAAAGCCAAAACTCTTAAACATTTAGATACAGGTATCAGAAAATCCAGGTTTTGTTTTTTTGGGACAGAGTCTCAGTCACCCAGGCTGCAGTGCAGTGGTGCAATCTCAGCTCACTGGAACCTCCACCTCCCAAGTTGAAGCGATTCTCCTGTTTCAGGGCCCCCACCCCATCGCACAGTGGCTGGAATTACCAGCATGCACCATCACGCCCCATAAATTTGTTGTTGTTGTTGTTGTTATTTTTAGTACATAAGGGGTTTCCTCATGTTGGCCAGGCTGGTCTCGAACTCCTGACTGCAAATGATCCACCCACCTCGATCTACCAAAGTGCTGGGATTACAGGTGTGAGCTACTGTGCCCAGCCCAGAAATCCAGTTTTTCATAAAATCCCCTACACATATAGAAAGAACATTTTCTCACATTTGGATTCATTTATTCAAGACTGAAGAATCATTTGGAAATTTAAAAAGCAAACCTGGCTCATCTTTCTGTTCTATTCTCTAACTAAAGAATGTAAGAATGAACTTTATTTTAAATTTCTGACAATCTGGTTGGAATTATCCAATTAAGAAACCATATTTATTACTAAAATAAAAATACAAAAATGCATATGGCTTACGTATTTAAAATGATTTGGGTATTTTTACTTAATGTCAAGAACATAAAAGTAGTTTGCCTTTTAAACATATGAAACCTTTTATGTTGGTTGATCATTATTACCGTCTTAACAAATCAAGGCAAAAATATTCCTCAAATATTTGTGATTAAACTGTTGAACCGGAATTGGCTCACCTCCCAATGACTTCACAATTATCTGCTTCAATTAATTTTGAGAAATAAAATAACCCAATCATTCTTTAGTTTTCTGATGCCTCTGCAAAATGTATCTGAAAAAAATATCAAAATAAATCGCTGTATAACAACATATAGTATAAGTGTACCTTCTAATCAAGTTTATGTCTATCCTAGTATCTGAGGTGTTACACTGAAACAAGTCTGCTTCATTTCAATCAAATTTGCCTTATTTGTGCCTTTTATAAATCACAGCAAGAGAAGCACAGAGAGTTAAAAATCTTAGAACTCAGGAATTACCTGGTCTAATCTCCTTATTAGGAACTGGGGCCCAGAGAGGGGAAGTGACTTGGCCATGCTCATACAGTTAACAGCCGGTCTTGACATGAAATGACAGGTTACTAACGGAAACATTTTTCCACAATACCTGTATAATTTGTTTACTATTATATCTAGTACAAAAAAATTACGAGTTGGTTCTAACAGTACATACAAAAACATGAAAACAAGAGCTCCATTCCAAGATGAAAATTTTACTCATAAAAAAGCTCTAGATGAACCGCTCCAAATAAGAACACTAGCTTTACCTTAAATAAATGTATACCTTTATAATCATCTAAAATTTTCTGAAGATTAAATAAGTTTAAAAGTGGTTACCTTGGCCGGGCATGGTGGCTCATACCTGTGATCCCAGCACCTTGGGAGGCCAAGGCCGGCAGATAACTTGAGGTCAGGAATTTGAGACCAGCCTGGCCAACATGGTGAAATCACATCTCTACTAAAAATACAAAAATGAGCTGGGTGTAGTGGCACATGCCTGTAATCCCAGCTACTTGGGACGCTGAGGAGACAGAGTAACTTGAGCCTAGGGGGTGGTAGAAGTTGCAGTGAGCTGAGATAGCGCCACTGCACTCCAGGCTGGGTGACAGAGCAAGACTGTCTCAAATAAATAAATAAACAAATAAAATAAGCGGTTACCTCAGGTAAGTAGAAATGGAGCATCAGGAACAGAGGAGTTAAAAAAAAATCAATCAGTTTTGTTATTTTTCCAGACAAGCTCTTGCTCTGTGGTCAAGGCTGCAGTGTAGTGGCATGAACACAACTCACTGTAACCCTGACTGCCTGGGCTCCTCCAATCTCAGCTTCCCAAGTAGCTGGGACCACAGGTATAGGCCACCACACCTGGCTAGTTTTTTTTTGGTATTTTCTACAGAGACAGGGTCTGGCCAAGTTGCCCACACTGGTCTCAAACTCCTGAGCTCCAGTGGTCCTCCTGCCTCAGCCTCCCAAAGTGCTAGGATTATAGGCACCTAGCAAAATCAGGATTTTAAGACAAAACAGATACTATTCAGCTCCAACTTTGTCTTCATCTTAAAGTAGTGGGATATTAGAGACTCAGAGTCTTTAAGTATTAGAGACTTAGAGGACTCAGGTGTCCTCTCACAGAGGGAAGGATTGTCATTAGAATTTTCCAAAATTCTAATTTTCAACCTGAATGCTCAAATTATCAGCTGTTTTCCTTGAAGTGGCAGCCTTGTTTATTTCTGACAAAATGTCTACCAAATTCCAGATGTGAATATTTAGAAAATTCTAGAAGACACAATACACAATTTATCTAATGATCCATCATGTTATGTAGCACCCCCAAAGTTCCACCGTCCACTCCTGAGAGACTGAATATGAAAAATGCAAATAATACGTCAGTGTTATTATGAAAAGTTTTGACATTGTGGACTCCCTGAAAGGTGTCGGGGAATGCTATGCTCTGGATGTCTGTGTCCCCTCAAAATTCACGTTGAAACAATCCCAATGCAGTGCTGTTGGGAGATGGGCATCTGGGAGGTGACTTAGGTCATGTGGGGGAAGCCTTGTTTGCCCCTTCCACCATGTGAGAACACAGCAAGGCACCATCTAGGAAGCTGAGAGTGAGCCTTCATCAGATGCCAAATTTGCTGGTGACTTCATCTTGGACTTCCCAGATTCCAGAAATACGAGAAATAAATTTCTGTTGCTTAAAAATCACCCAGTCTAAGGTATTTTGTTGTAGCAGCCCAAAGGCACTAATACAGGCACCCTCATGAGTCCCGCCCCCCTGTTTTATATTTCACAAAGTAGAGTACACCAACCCTCAATCGGCCTGGATTAAACTGCCAGAAGAACCTTGGAAGCCTCACGCATCTTGGGTGAGTGAGCACTAGCTAGCTGCCTGAGGAGGAAGCAGAGAGCAACTATCTCTAATCAGAGCAATTCATTACCTCTACCCGTAGCTTCCGGTTTAGGGAAGAGCTCCACTGTGAGCTGCCTCACAGTGGCAAGACTTGGCATTAGGCAAGCCACCCAGGGGCAATCAAGATTTAGGCAGTATAGGCAATGTTTCTTTTTTCTTGAGATGGAGTCCCACTCTTGTCGGAGTGCAGTGGTTTGATCTTGGCTCACTGCAACCTCCGGCAGTGTTTTGTTTTGTTTTGTTTTGTTTACTTAAACCCTGTCACTGACTTAAGCTGGGTTGATAATTTCACCTTTTTAAAAAAGAAGCATATTAATCCCACTTTTTCTAAAACAATAAAAACTATTATGTTATGTAAACGCCACACCGTACACTTCATTAATTACACTCTAGAACATTGGTAGATACTTACATTTCCAACCAGACAGAGAGAGAGAATAAAAAGACAAACAGACACCAAGTTCTTCTGTTACTCACAGTTCTACAGATCATAGAAGTCTCAAAATGTTTGGCACATAATCGATAATGTTTATTTAGCTGATCAGGTGTTTTATCTTCTAAGTCTGCTCTCCTACAATTCTCCACCCACTTCTGGCATCTATAAATAAAACCAAAATACAATTATGAAAATGAGCTCAATATTTCAATTTCAGCCTTCAGTTTTAAGGCAAACATACATAAATAACAACAGTTCCCTGCTCTCCTCCCTGAAAACATAACTTGGAGAATTTGATTAATCACAAAATAATAGTTGGAAAAAATCTTAGAAATCATTTAGTACCAACACTTCAATTAGACAAGGTTAAGAAGTAACTTGCTTGGAGTCATGTACAAAATCAGCAGCAGAACTAGAACTGAAACCTGCATCTTCCAACTCCCAAGACATCAGAGAAGATTCAATCATCAGTAGTACAAGCAGAAAAGTTGCACAACCACAAGGCTAACAGCCTAACACTCCCTTCAGGATTTCAACTTCAACAAGCAAACAAAACAACACTGTCATTGTAGAAAATTAGCAGTTAGATGTTCTTTAAATAACTAGTTTCTAAGGCAAGCATAAAAGCTTTATTCATTTACCTTATTATGAACACAATTTATTACCTACAATTATGTGTGTTGACTAGATTGCAAGCTCAAGGAATGCAGGGACTATGTCTACCCAATCTGATACTACAGAAAGTGTTAAAGACAGGGAACAAGACAAAGTCCATGTCCTCTTGGTGCTTAAATACTTTCAGAAAAACTAATAATAATGCTTATTAAGCAGTTATTATGAGCCAGACACTGTTCTAAGTCCTTTCCAAAGATGCGTACTATTATTATCCCCCTTATGCAGATGAAGAAACCAAGGCATAGAAGTGTTAACTAACTCGCTAAAGTTATATCTAGATCTTTCTCTCATTCCTCAAGTTTCTAAGAATAAAAGTTCTGCTGTGGATGAACCATGTCACAAACTTTTTTTTTTTTTTTTTTTTTTTTGAGACGAGTCTCACTCTGTTACCCAGAGTAGAATGCAGCATGATCTCCACTCGCTGCAACCTCTGCCTCCCAGGTTCAAGCGATTTTCCTGCCTAAGCCTCCAGAGGAGCTGGGATTACAGGTGCGCACCACCACGCCAGACTAATTTTGGTATTTTTAGTAGAGACAGGGTTTTACCACATTGGCCAGGCTGGTCTTGAACTATGGATCTCAGGTGATCCGCCCACCTTGGTCCTCCCAAAGTGCTGGAAGTACAGGTGTGAGCTACCAGGCCCTGCCCAACATATTCCTCTGTAATTACATCACAGTTTTTTTTATGTTTTAACACTATTGTCCACCTCCCACAACATACAGGCACCTGACACTTCTCTCTACTCTAAAAATGTAAAATCATGGTAAAATGCTTTTTAAAAAACTACACCTAAATTCTACAGCACTTTATTTGACCAACAAGTGTTACTGCTCACAATAATGATGCCTAAGATGTTCACATTTTAGTCACACTTTTACACAGTTATACATTATGATTACAAACATGTCATGTTTCAAAATCCAAATATTAAGTATAAAAACTATCTCACTATAAAATAATTTGCCAAACTGATACAGGTTGTTTGTTAAATTCTTAAATCTCTGGAGACCTTCCACATAGAGCAATACTGTACATATTACCTCTGAACTAAGTTGAAGCAGCTTTCTGATATCAACAGCATCTCTTATTCATCAAGAACAGAATGGGCATCAGAGAGCCTAATTAAATACACCTGTGTTTCCATACAAACTAAGAATAAATCTAGTGAAAGATGTGCAAGACCTCTAATAATCTTTTTTTTTTTTTTTTTTTTTTTTGAGACGAAGTCTTGCTCTGTCACCAGGCTGGAGTGCAGTGGCACAATCTCGGCTCACTGCAGTCTCCACCTCCTGTGTTCAAGCGATTCTTCCGCCTCAGCCTCCCGAGTAGCTAGGACCACAGGCGTGTGCCACAACGCCCAGCTAATTTTTTTGTATTTTTAGTGGAGACGGGGTTTCGACGTGTTGGCCAGGATGGTCTCAATCTCTTGACCCCATGATCCACATGCCTCGGCCTCCCAAAGTGCTGGGATTATAGGTGTTAGCCACCGAGCCCGGCCTTTAACAATCTTTTTAAGTCAAACTTAAATGGAGGAATACACAAGTTTATGAATTGGCACACTGAATTATAAAGATATCGATTATCCCCAAACCCATTTACTAATTCAATAAAATCACAAGCCCATTAAGTTTGTGAGAGTGAGCAAGAGAAACAAATGACAAATTATTCTAAAACTTTTTATACATAAAGAACCAGGAATAGCCAAGATAATCTTGTGAGAGAGGAAAAAAAAAAGGAGGTTGAAAGAATTACACTATCAGATATTAAGACTTATTGTAAAGCTTATCATGACAATGAGGTATTGGTACAAGGACAGAACAATGAAACAAAACAGAGCATTATGGATACTTAAAGGTAGCTCTGAACAACAGCAAATATGGATTTTTCTTTTTCAATAAATAGGGCTGAGTCAGTTGAATATCCACATGAAAAAAATAAATCTTAACTCCTACGTGCATACCATAAACAAAAATAAATTCCAAGCGACTATAAATCTAAATATAAAAGATAAAACAATAAAGCTTCTAAAAGATAATGCAGGAGATTATCTTCATGACCTTGGAGAAGATAAACATCTCTTAAGGCAGGGGTCCCCAAACTACGGCCTGCGTGCCGCATGCAGCCCTGAGGCCATTTATCCGGCCCCCGCCGCACTTCAGGAAGGGGCACCTCTTTCATTGGTGGTCAGTGAGAGGAGCACTGTATGTGGCCGCGCCGCAAAGCGTGGCACGTACAGTACTACTTCCGGTGATGCGGGACGCACACACCATGGCTCCGGAAGCGCATCATAGGACGCACATCCGGTCTGCGGCTGCGGCACCCCACATCACTGGAAGCAGTGTGAAATAATAGCAGAAGTAGGAAGAAAGGCAAAGCACTATAACCATTACTACACAGTACAATGGCCCCCATACTCCCCCAAATGTACAACATCATAATGGCCCCTATAACCTCCCTTTGCCCAAAAGTCTCCCCCAACATTACTACACACCATGTTTCCCCTATTGTAAGACCCTGTCTTATATTGATTTTACCCCCAAAAGACGTGGGCTGTCTTATTTTTAGGAGGTGTCTTATAATAGGGGAAACATGCAGCAGTGGGCTTCCCACAGAAGAGGCCCACGGCTGCTGCAGATGTCCAGGACGCTGTATACACAGTGTCACAGGCTTATCATGCCATCCCTGTATACAGCACTGGAGGCGGTGCTGGGCCTGTGACACTGTATACCACTGTCTGTGATAGTGGAGGCAGCAGCGCTGGCTGTGAAGGGTGTCACATCTTGCATAGTCCGGTCCTCCAACGGTCTGAGGGACAGTGAACTGGCCCCCTGTGTAAAAAGTTTGGGGACCCCTATCTTAAGGCAACAGACAGCACAAACTCAGAGGAAAAATTTATAAATTAGGCTACTTTAAAGTTAATAACTTTTCTTCATTAAAAGAATCCGTTTAAGAGTGAAATGGCAGACCATAAAATATAAGATACTTGCAATACATATATCTAATAGTGGACTCACATTCAAAATATATATGAAGAACTCCTAAAAAGAAATAACCCAACATAAAGATAGGCAAGGGCCCTTGAACAGGCACTTTATAATAAAAAGGTTATACAAATGGCCAATTATATAGATGAAAATGATGCTCAATCTCATTTGCCATCAGGGAAGTACTAATTAAAATCAAAACAAAATTATTACTACATACCCAAAAGAATCATTGCAATGTAAAAGACGTAATACCAAATATTGGGGAGAAGGTGAAATAACTTTGCTCACCAACAGCAAGATGGATAAACTGTGGTCTATTCATTCAATGGAATACTACTTGGCTATGGAATGAACAAACTACCTACAATCTCACAAATGTAATGTTAATCAGAAGTCAGGAGTATATACTACATGATTCCTTTGATATGAAATCAAGAACAGGCAAAACTCATTTATAGTGATTGTTCAGAAAGAGTTAACACAGCAGACCTGAGGCTGCTGTCCTTAGAACGGCCTGTATGTTAAAGACCTTGGGCTGGTATTTGAGAATTTGGTTGGTAAACAGCTCCGTACACACAAATAAAACTTTTCCTAACTGATAATGCAGCACACTGTGCCTAGACTGTTTGTGTAAACAATGATTTATGCTGAACACCTGCTATCCCTTCTGGGAATCTGGAATTTTATTATATGCCAGGTAGAGACTGCCTATATGATCAGGCCCCAGTAAAAGCCTTGGACACTAGGTCTCTAATGCTCTTTTCGCCACAGAAACATGGCACATGTGGTGCTGCATTTCCACTGCTGGGGAAAAATGGGCTCTGAGTGACCCTTCGTGGGAAGGAAAGAGCATAGAGAAGCCTATGCACGGATTCCTTCAGACTGTGCCTGTGTCTTTTTCCCCTATGACCCAGATGTGTATCCTTACTACAATGCTGCAATAAATCTTCCCTGTGAGTACAACCATATACTGAATCCTGTAAGCCCTTCTAGTGAATCCCTGAATATGGAGTGGTCTGGCCCTGCCTCAACGCAGTGATGGAACAGTAGATACATTTGGGGAGGGGTAACAACTGGGAATGGGCACAAAAGAGGCTTCTAAGGTGCTCCTAATGTTCCATATCTCAAACAATAATAACGCTACATTCATTCTCCCTATTCCCCACCAAAACCCAACTAATCCAAGGTATGCGAAGTCACAGTGGCTACCACCGGAGAGAATGGAATAATGGCTGGGAGGGCCATGGAGCAGAGGGAGTTTAGGATGCTATTAATACTCTATTTTTTAAAACTCGCGGTGAAATTATCATGGACATGTTACTCTGAAAATCCAACATGATGTATAGTTATCATTTGTGATCTGTGCATATGTTTTTTTGGGTTTGAGACAGGATCTCACTTTGTTGCCCATGCTGGAGTGCAGTGGTGCAATCTTGGCTCACTGCAGCCTTGACCTCCTGGATTCAAGCAATTCTCCCACCTCAGTCTCCCCAGCAGCTG